TATATATATATATATATATATAGGCCTATTATTAAACACTGACACAACAAAATGTTACACACTTACATTCAACGACAGCTAGACCTACTTGCTGAGTTTTGGCGTCGTCAGTTTGCGGGAACACAACGAATTATGAATACCGGTACATCATTAAGGAGATTTTTAGAAGTTTTTTTTGCGCAACCACGTGACCCTAGATTCACTCGTTCGTGACCGTCCTGCGTTCTCTACCCAACAAGGATTTGACCACTTCACATTGGCGAGTTCACTTGATGTCTAAATACGTCGTTCCTTTTTGTCGACGCAAATCAAAAGCTTCTAACGACGATATGCTTGACGTGTTTATGTATTTATTTGAATCTTGAAACTGTTTTATCCACACATTATGGGTCACTAACACGCTATTATTTTTCCAAATAACATCGCAATAAATCAGGTAACAAGAGGGTAAATGGATATGTTTTCTTACTTGAACCTTTACTCGAGCCTTTAAAGTGGATCGCGAGTGCCCGATATATAGGGTGTAAATTAGCACTCGGTCAGCAAACGCGTATACTGCGCGGAATATTTGCTATGAACGCATCCAACTAATCACATGGCAGACAGCTGATCAGATGACAGAACCATCAAGTAACATAATAGGCCTACTCTCGATAAAGCGCTTTAAATACCTCCATAATTAACGCCGCGGCGCTTGTTCGAGAGCGTAGCGGTGCTTCGAAAAAACACGTTTGGTGCGACGCTTTCGAAAACGATGCTTATTCGAAAGCGGCGCATATCCGCCATAACCATTATTAAATCGTTTAGTGATAGATATAATAAAAGCGTTCTCGAAATTAACGACGAACTCATGCCAAAACAACTTTTAATTTATGAAACCATTGATTTTTGTACGTTATTAATGTAGTATGTCAAAGTGAGCATTAGTTTAATTAATGACTGGATGTGTTAACACAATCATCTGGCGCACATCAATCAGTCCTATTTTCCCCAAAACAACTTAAACCAATATACGTCTTTTCATGTGATTTATGCTATGGATATGTGAGGCATGTTGTGGCGAAATGGTAAAGTTGTCGCACAGTCCAGTATTGAGTAAATGAGCTATAAAATATGGGAGCTCAAAGAATTGATAAGACATCCAAATTTTTTTTTCACTATAGGTCAACAGTTTAATGTCTTATTAATCATGTTCCAAAGTATTAGTTCTGGAAGTGGTTAACACATTGTTTATTTAACGTTATTTTTCATAGTTCATTCTATTAAACAATGTATGTACAAATAATTTTAAAAGGCAATTACTCAAAATCCTGTTTATCTTGACTCTAAGAGTACTGTACTTTCACTTTGCAATAACTTAGGTTTGAAATGTCCAATTGGAATGAATGACCCCTCATTTTAAAGATCACATACTCAGGTATTTGAAAATACCAATAACTTGAATATAAATTTTTGCTACAAATTAGCCATTTTGCCACAACGTAAAGTGTTTTTTTTTTCCCGAAAAATAACACTTTACGTGATAACTGAGTGAGTGATCAAGTCATAAGTCACAATGTTACACATCTGTAACAGTATTTTACTCAAATACTATATACGCAATTAAGATTGGCCTAGATACTGTACTTAAGCATCAGAAATGTAATCAGTTTACTTGTTAATCGAATGAATGATCAAGTCATAAGTCACAATGTTACAAATTCTATAACATTTTTTTAGTAAAATATATAAGAAATATGTTTGGCCTAGATACTGTATTTATTCATCAGAAATTTAATCAGTTTACTGGTTAATCCAGTGAATGATTAAGTCATAGTCACAATTTTACAAATTCTATAACATTATTTTACTCAAATATATACGCAATATGTTTGGCCTAGATACTGTACTTTCTCATCAGAAATGTAAGCACTTAGTCTAATCTGTAATGTGTTTATATTTGCGTAATTTTAAAGATGCTTTATGCATTTCATTTGAAGCCACTAAAATGAATCCCACGGTCGATGAGAGACACTAGAACAATTAATGGCCTCAAAAATCAGACACTAATCAGAATTTGAAAGAATAGGCAAAAATCTAATTACCATAATCTTGACTATGCTTCTAATCAAAATATCTAAATTATTATAATGCCAATATTGACAATATTATGACGTCATAATTGTCATATCATGCCCATTTCGGATGGAAGTTGGTGGTATCTTAAAGCGCATAAGCCTCATTGTAGGACCTATCTGCTGGTTATATAAACAAAATAATACAACTTGACGTTTCCTTTTCAAAATCGCTGCATGAATACACACATTTGATTAAGAGGCCAACCAGAGACCTGTAATTAATAACAGTGCTCGAGCACTGTTTATTATTTTGT